AATCCTCCTTGTCCTCCAGGTTCCAGCCTCTCCAGACAGAGCCAGTTAGCTAATAAGTACAAGTACTCACTCACCGAGTGAGCGAGGGCTGCCAGGCTTTACCCACGATTCTGTCCTGCATCGCTCCTGAACTCATCACCTGGATGGAATGTTCCCCATATCTCCNAAATGAGACACTCAAGACCACACAGCAAATATGAGCCCAAGGCAGCACCAGAAGTGGAATCCAAGTCTGCCTGTCCCAAAGCCTTAGCTCCCGAACACTGTTCGTTTTTATTTTTATTTTTGGCAGCTGGCCAGTGGGGGGATCTGCACCCTTGATCTTGGTGTTATCAGCACCACGCTCTAACCAAGTGAGCTAACTTGCCATCCTGCTGAAGAGTGATCTTCATGTTTGCAGCCTCCCTATGAGTGTATTTGCATTCTTAAACAACCACATTGGTTGCAGACTGGAGAATAAGCATTAGGAGACGGGGGTGGTTAATATCGGAGGTGGGGAGACCCATGAGGTGATGGTTGGACATAGAAAGGAGCCTATAGATCCAGGAAACACTTCATGGCAGAGTCTAAAGAAGGTGCTGAGGGAGGGAGGACAGGATGCATTGGGCGATGAGCCCCAGGGTTCTGGCATGGACGGAGGGGTGCCATTTATGGAATCAAAGAATGCAAGTTTTGTTTCAGGAATGAGTGAGTGAATGAATACCTGAATGAAGGGGGTCCTAAAACGGAGTTGGGAATGAGTTACCCATCACCGGGACTATGCAAGCAGTGGCTTTAAATCTGGATATTGTGGAGGATGCTCCAGGTTTGAAGGGAAGCTCAAATGGTAGGCACTCAATAAACATATACTGCAAGAATGAATGATTGAATTGCTGCCATCCCTATGATTCTAGGGCACATGGGATCTCACGGGCATCTGACGGGAGCTTAGTAATGAGTTACCCGTCTAAGAACATAGGATGGGGGAAAATATTCAAACACTGTTAATATTTTCTACATCATCTCTTAAATTTCTACTTGCTGAGTATATTTTAGAATGTACATTTTCATACACATGAATAAGTTATACATATTGGGTATGCATATCCACATGTCTTTGCTTACAGAGACACAGTCACAAAAGCTTGGAGGCCACTGGTCTACCGTGAATAAGTTGAGCAGAAATAAAGGAAACCGTACCCCCAGGGCTTCTGATGGTCCAAGGCAAAACTCAGGGGTTTGGGGAGTTGTAACAAAGAGCTGAGCAAAACTCCTCATCCATTTTTTACACTCTACAGAGAAGACACATGTTTACATGGTTTAACCATTTTCTCATTTGTATGTGAAATGCTTCCGTTTCACGGCGTAACCTCTCTCTGGGTCTTTCGCAGGACAGATGTTCTTTATCACCACAGTGTACAGGGCAGGGGGGGAGCTCCCCTCCCACAGACTCCGGCCATGTGCAGTCCCTAAGTGACCATTAGGAGCCCGAGGCTGGAGGTGGCTCTTCTCCTAGGGGACCCTCAGCCCAGGCCCTGCTGATGAATGACCGCTGCACGTTACAAAGCTCAGCCTCCTTTTCTTCACTCCCAATGTGTACATGGTTTGGCTTCGCTCTAATACCCAAAATTTCTTTTTCACCTGTTCTCTTTCTCCATCTGCAAGTGTGTATGTTTATTGTGGCAGAGGTTTGTGGCTGATAGGGACAAAAAGGTAGGGTGGGGAGGGAATCTTTTTTAACCCTTTTGTTTTAAAATTCAGCATTGGATCGATCAGAATTTATGAACTCTTTGCCATCCAAATCCTCCTTGTCCTCCAGGTTCCAGCCTCTCCAGACAGAGCCAGTTAGCTAATAAGTACAAGTACTCACTCACCGAGTGAGCGAGGGCTGCTGGGCTTTGCCCACGATTCTGTCCTGCATCGCTCCTGAACTCATCACCTGGGTGGAATGTTCCCCATATCTCCCCGAGGGGCTTGGCACAGTGTTGGCCACAGGTGGCAGTTTATTAAAATGTGTGGAAAAAGAAATCAATCCCCTGGGAGGACGGGGCTTGGGGCAAGGCTGTCTCCTCTGGCCAAGGATGCTGGCCCAGCCTGACACCTGGGCCCTGCTCTGCCCCTGGAGGCAGAGCTGCACACTGTCCCTCAGGTTGGTCCTGTGGGAAACTGATTGGCTGGGGAGGGTGTTCTCCCATCTCTGTTTAGCTGCAGACGTTCATTGTGGGGGGCCTTGTCCCCAGCAGGCTTCTTCATGGTCACATATGTCCAGGCAGCCCAGCCTGGAGAGTGCTCAGCCTGTCGTGTAGAGGAGCTTGGTCCTGGGAGTGATGCCTTAGGTAAAGCAGTCATGCCCTGTTTTAGGGTCTGCTGCCTGGGCCCCCTCTGCTTCCTACTCAAGCTCTTTGCCGGGTCGCACTAGGTTACCTGTGCATAAACCATTGATTGGCGCACCTTGGTTGCAGAGACAGGGACAATCCCTGAGCAGGCCTGGACTCCCCACACCAGCTATTGACCAGGGGTGAGGATCTGAGCACGGTGACCTCCCTGGGCAAGTCCACTCAGAAATCTCTCTCTCTCTCTGCCTCATCATAAACCAGACACTGAAGGGGTGGCCTTCCTCTCAAATACTTGTGTGTGTGTGTGTGGGGGGGGGGTCAGGGTGATGGAAAGGAAAGCTGGAAGCTAACAGTATCGAACACCTACTGTGTGTTAACCTGATAGGTGCTTTACACAACCACTGGCTTCCAATACTGATTCTCCTCTACAGAACTATTGCTAAACTTCAGTGTCTTTTCCTTATAATAAATGTACCCCTGTTTGGTGTGCATAATAATGCCTCACATTTACACAGCACCTTTCACTTTCCAAAGTACTTTTATGCCTGTTACCTCCTTTAATCCTCACAAAAACCTCATGTTCCAGAAGAGGAAACTGAGGCAGGGACAGGGTGATTGGGCAATGTTTTCTGCTGAGCTGGGACATTGGGCTCCTCACCCCTCTGCTCCCTGTACAGTTACCAGTGTCTCGCTTAAGAACATCGTAGAACAGCCTTCTGGTGGTTGCAGGTGCACAGTCATTTGCACCCTGCGATGCGAGTTCCTTCAAGAGAGAGACCCACCTTCTCTTTCTTCCCTCTTCCTACAGCGGTCAATGCTGTGATTATAGCAAGTGCTCGGTAAGTGCTTACTGGGTTC